GCATGTACTTTGTGATTTCATGAATTTTACTTTATTGTATTGATAGTATTCATGCTAGAGTAGGGAAGGTGGAAATAAAAGGCTTAAAGCTACCATATCACAAAAATACAAAAATAATCTGGTGTATCTGGATGGGCTCAAAATTTATTCTGATACATTAACCTTCCTGACAATCATGCACACAAAACATCTTGCATGCTTCCAAAGCAGCCTATATCAGCTTATCAAGGAGGCTGCACAACTACTGAAAGAATTCTGAGGTGGCCTTGAAATCAAGCCTTGGACTGAAAAAAACAACCACAGTTCCCAGGCTCAGAAGACCAGTAAAGCAGCTCCAGGGATACAGCCCTGCCAGAGACCAACACTAGGATCCTCTTGCACAGAGTGCAAGGAAATGGTGTCATTGCACAGCTCAGATGGATGCTGTCACTTTGAAACCAAGCTCTAAGCCTCACCTCATCTGCTGTGCAAAGTACAGTAGCAGCTAGACTGATTGACAGCATTCCTCTAAAGAGACTAATTTCATTTGGCAACCACATTCCCCTATAGTTTCAATGGCATGAGCATTCACTTAAATGAGGCACCCTACAGGCAAATATTAATTTTTAGGGGCTGAAAGTGGAACAGCCTTGAATCAATGAAAGAGGGAAAAACATTCCTAAGTTTACACCCAGACATTACCTATCATCTTGCTGTCAACCCTCACAATAATTAGTAATGATACCACTGCCCGATTAGATTATAACATTTATCTCAGTTAACAACCTTTCTAATTTCTCAAGTGCCACTTGTTTATTTTGGAAATTATAGAGAAATAATTTTACTAGTTCTGGTCAAGTATGCAAATGTTTTAAAACAAGTATTTCACCAACATATGTACAGCTTTGGAGACCAAAGAGGACATATGCAAGTCACCTGTTAATCAGGTACCCCATGGTTTTAGAATTATATCCTAGCAAGTCATCACTAGAAATGCAAGAGAAGTCAACTTAAATCTTAGATTTTTATCAACTCCAGGAGTAAACAATTACTCTTAAAGAAAGGGACTAAAGCTATCAGAGCCAAACTGAGCCAACTGACAGGCAGGCAGCAGTAACAGTGTCCTGGCAACTGCCTGAGCTAGATTCAGGCAAGCCCAGATTCAGCCTAAATTCAATAGTATCCTGATGATAGATAAAAAGCGCTTGCTTGACTTTCTACCCAAAAATCAAAACTACTTTATAAAAGAACAGTGTTTTGATTGTCAACTTTCCAAACTAGCAACATGACTCCCAACACTAATTACAAAAATAGGAACCACACAGACCAGGATCACAACCAGCACTCCCAGAGGTGCTGGCCCCTGCTGCTTGCATAGCAGTAGTTTGCCTCTTTATCCAAGGCAGTGTTGCTCCCATGCCCTGCAGAATTCCAGCAGGAGAAGAGAAGAGAGCTCAGAGGGTGCTTACAGATACAAAAGACTTCATACCTCCATCCTGGCTCCAATTCTCCAGGCAGAACAGGTGTACATGAAAGGTCTTCAGTTACTGCAAATGTATTTTCTGAGTTTGTGAGAAGACAGGAGTTTATGAGAGTTTACAATGTAGAACCTCAGGGTTAGGGTTGGAAAGAAACAAAACGTTAAATAATAAAATATTACTTTCACAGTGGCAATAGATAACAGGGAATTTTTGGGCTGCTGACTTAATAGAGGCCTGAGAGTCCAAAGTTACCAGACTAAGGAGGGAATAGGCTAGCTCAGCTACCTCAAATGCAGGGAAGAAAACAAAACAAAACAAAAAACAAAAAAAAAAAAAAAAGTTGGTGAATGTGGCAGGGTGAAGAAGTGGTTACAGTTCAGAAAAACAAGGGAACAAAGAAATAAATAGTGGCATTTCGTTTTTTCCATTGTACCGCATCTTGACTTTTCTTATTTTGAAAGCAAAAAGAAGCAGGTACTCTTGACCTTTATTTTCTGCATCCCTCTTCACTGCCTGCAAAAATAATTGCTATTTCCAGCATCTGTCTTAGGAAGCCAGGAAGGGCCTTATTCTAAGAAAGACACAGTGGAGAAAGAAGTAGTGTTCTTGTATGTGCAGTGATCAGATGTAGGATTTGGTATGCACTGAGCAATGCTTGGGCAGATTTGAGCATACAAATAGGAATAAGAGCTATTTAATTCCCCACGTGTTTAAGTTAGGCTCTTGCCTTTTCTGTGTGTTTTGGCTTTTTTCTCACTGCCACAAAACCTACATCATCACAGGGCAAAGTGTGGTAAGGTCTCACCCCTTCTCTCCCACGGGGTTGAAATATACATATTTGGCAGCCTCTGCTCCTGGGAGAAAACAAAGGCAGATCTCAGGGAAATCCCCAGATTTGGAGTGAGCCACTGCATCATCTAAAGTTTCACCATGGAGATGGAACAACATAAATCACAGATGCCTACCAAAACAACAACGTGAATTTTTACAAACACTGATCAATCCCTATGCATCTTCCCTTCTGGATATGCAGGTAAGTACTCCCATCTCCCAGGAATCTCCCTCTGTTCCTTTCTGCGCCATATAAGGTTTCTGTGCTTGTATAAAGTTTTCTTACACTTCAGTCTAATTTGTGTGAAATTCAATCATTTGTTGCCTCTACTGTCTTTAAGAGGCACAGTATAAATAGAGGACAATAAACTCGCAAAAACATCAGTGGTAAAAAGGATATTGAATAAAAGTTCAAGACACAGATAAAAAGCAAACAGGAAAGGCAGCCCAGTGTCAGAAGACTTCTTGAGGATTCGCAGAGGTGGCACAAATGCATGTGGGAAAGGAGAATTTAAGATCGGGAGGTAGTGTCTGGCAAGTATTACTCTCCGTTTACACAACAATGTGACAATCTAAAAGAAACTTCATTTTAAAGAAAATCTTATACACTAACTTTACAAAGTAGCCTATAAAATCAAGTTTTCTTATTCTGAAAGTTGCTTAAGTATGCCTTGCGGGTTTGTAAGTGACTGTGCATTTCATCCAGCCAGACTCCACAGACTGTTGGCTAATAAGAACCACAGCACCGTTTAAACCTTCTTATAATTTCTGGTAACTTCCTTCCATCTGCCATCTTTCTTTTAATTTTTCACTTATTGAATATGAGTTTCAAAACAGCACAGACCCAGTCCAGACCTACAGGATCACTTTAGAAGTGAAATTAGATTTGCTACCAGCAATACAAGCCACTAGAAGTATTATTTCCAGCAGAAAACAAAATTAGGCAGTCTTTTAAAAATAGAGGTGGATAAAGTCCAAATACAAGTCTGTGCAGCTATCTCATAATCAATGTTTTTCAGTAACAGAACAAAGAATAACAGTCTTTTCTGAAACCTCTTGAAGTGCCTGCAAGTTACTGCAAGAGAGGTCATGCTTACACTGAAGCCTAATTCCTCTGTGTTAACAGATGTTCAGAATAACCCAGTATACATCAATTTAAGTAATTCAAATCCAAATAATCCATTTCAAATCAGCTGCAGCAACAGGGTTTCTGCAATGTCAGCTTGGCCATCAAGTCTACTGTGAATCTAAACACCTACTTTTCTTTATCCATTTCTGAGTAATAAATACTCAAAACTACACAAACCGGTAGAAGCAAACATATATCAAAGCCTCTACATCAAGGAAAGCAACATGATTTCAATTAACTTCGGCACACAGCATAAGGTGTTTGAATTTACTTTGTAATAGCAAAAGCACCTTCCATAACTCGCTACACATGCTGATGAATATCCAAGGTTCACTCTCACCCTGGCCCTAGGGATAAGACTGTATTTTGAGGAGTTTTGTGGTGACAGGAAGATGGGGTTTTACAGTGATGTTACAACAGATTTGCTGTGGACTTGCATAAGAAAAAAAAATAAAAATGAGACCAACCAAACAAGTAACAACCCAAACCCAACAACTCCAATCCAAAATAAAAATATAGACCGATATTAAGACTCTACAATTAAGTGCAGAAGTAAAATGAAAACACTTTGGAAGCACACTTAACGTTGTTGCTTCATGCATTCAGTACTGTTTTTGGCTAAGATGAGAAGTACTGTATTAATAAAGATGAGCAAATTTCTAGCTTAGCATTAATCATTTAAGCTTTTGAAATACAAATCTTCTGAAGGATAATTTTCAATTCTTCATGATATGACATGCAATCAGAATTAACAGTGTATTTACGCCCATCATTTTAAAGAATGCCTTAGTGCTAGCACACTTGGAATTAAGGTCTTTCAGTAAATACAGGAAGAAGTAACACAAGAGTTTTGCAGATGGGTTTCATGGCTTGTTTCTAGGCTCAGAAGTTTTGATTAAAGCCAATTTGCGAAACAAAGTACCACATGTAGCTGGTGGGAAAAGCATAGAGATAATTTAAATAGTTGTCAATATGTTCATCTTTGAGTATTGCCAAATTTTCAAAAGCCTAGTTCTTCCAAATTGTACTATTCATACTTGAATATTACATGCATGCATTAAAATTTTGCTTTAAATACACTTTGACCAATGTTTCAAATCACAGATTGCAAGGTATCGTAAATGCTGACTTGGTCTGCATTTTTCTACATCTTCTTCATGACAACTTTGAAAAAAAAAAAAGATTCAGGTCTTAAATTTTGGTCTCAAATATATGAAACATATATGGTTCAGAGATCTCTCAAATTCAAAGGTCCTATGTGTTCCATGAAATATTTAGATTAGGCATGAGGTCAAAAAACCCAACTTTTTTCTTAAAAGAACTTTTCTCTCAAAAATTATTTTGAAAAAGAACCATTACTAAAGGAAAATGGGTAACATCAGATTTTACTTTTCTAAGAATTGTATCAGTTTTTCAACTTCTGTACTAGTATTCATGTATGCAAGTATAATGCAATTGATATGCAAAATGCAGAAATTAATACATTTTCAACTGACTCATTTTGTAGGCAAATCAGCATTAATTAAACAAGCGAATGTGTGAAAGGCTAGATAAAAATTACACCTTATAAAACCAAAGCAGATGTTTCAACTTATAGTTTTAATATAGCAATCAAAGAAAATTCCAAATACTGTACAGTGAAGTGTAGTATAGTACACTATATACTGTTATAATACACTATTGTTACATTACTGATAAAAAAATCAAATATAATTAGTACAGCAATCACAAATAGAACAAACCAAACCTTGCTGGATAACAGCCAGTACTGTGAAGATGGTATAGTTTCTATGCTAATTTATTTTTAATTCAACATGTAAAGCACTTACTTTTTAAAAAGATTTTTTTCTAAATATATACACTATTTTAATTCCTATTTATACATTTTAAATAGCATTCCCTCCTAAAAGTGCACTCTTTCATTTCTTGGCAATAATCCTCATCAAACGTAAAATAACTCTGAAAATACCACTCCTGTTTCAACCTTTTATTGCTCAACCACAGGCATAAGGGCTCAGAGGGAATCCTGCATTCTAAAGATCTTAAGCAACTTCTTCATGAAGCTAAACTGATATTCACAAGCAAAACAAAGAAACCACTCTCTGTTGTGGCTTTTTTAAACAAAAGGATTAACTTCATATTCATATTATTATTATTATTTTACAAAAGCATGTAGATTCTGATATTTAAAAATAGGAGCCAAACAAATGTAGAGATAACAGTGGCATCTTCTTAAATCATTCATTTTCCATACAACTCAGATCGAGCATCACTCTCCCAACTGTAAACATACCAAGAATTTTGTTACCTGGCATTTTCAGCGCATTGAAAAAGCAACTCCACTAACCCTGTGATAATGACAACAGATTCTACTTTATGAAATAGTGTAAATCAAGTATTTTGGCCTTGCAGGGTTGTTAGCACACAGCCCTGTGGCACTGTGCCTCTGTGACACTGCTAGAGCACTCTGTCAGAGGCAACGTCTAGCTTGTATTTTGCAGCCAGCACAAGACTAGTAAACTACATGGAATTCACAAAGCCAACAATGCACACAGCTGTTTTGTGACTACAAGAGGAAGACATCCCAAATACATTTCTTTGATTTCATTTGAAAATCTGCTATTTATTTTCCCTCGCTGAAATGCAAACAATTCAGAGAAACAGCACTATCAAAAAGTCAACTAAGCAGCCAGCCATTTGAAGTAGTAAAAGTCTTGGAAAACTGATCTGTTCTCCCGAGGTTTCCCATATGCTCACCAGCAATCTAGTTCATTCCCTTTTTTATTTCTGTACTAGGCCTGTATTTTTAGCAATCATCTTTTCTTTGGGTTATACATACTAAGCCATAGTAACATTTAGGATTTTCTAATAATGTGTCTTCTTTGCCATGAGACACAGCATAGAAGATCCTTGGCCTTCAGACATGAATTTGGCAGCAAGAATTTGGGTTGGTTGCCTTTACTTTTCAAGAAAAGGGCACCATTCTTGACATTTGAGAAGTCCTCCTGACACATCTTCTCATCCACAATGAGGCAAAGTCTTCCCTGCCCTTGTACCCCCCAGCATTTTCCTGACTCTAACAGGAATTCTACAAGCACACTGGTGCTTCTTGGACAGGCACACAGATTTGTCTCCACTTACATTTGCACCCACTGCCAGCAACCAAATGAAACATCTGTTCCAACTCACACTTTGGTGTTCTTTATTTCACTTCTCCTGCAGTCACACATCTCACTGGCATGTAGATGAAGTTTAGCTTCACTTGAGAGTATCAAGAGCTATCTATCTTTCTCAAAACCACTGATATTAAATGCAGAAAAAGCTACATGAGATAAGAACACTGCAAAGAAATATGCACAATCCTGCCTTGCAGAACTCACACCAGCAGATCTTGTGACTGACACCATTTTACCAGTCCTGTGAGACCATCTTCCTTTAGGAACTGGAGGGTTCTTGTCTACACGACTTGAGTGGGCCCAAGATGACACTAATGGTGAGTCAAACAGAGCTATTATCTGTTTCTATGTCTATTTAGATAAGAAGGAAAATGTCAAATTACTGCTGAAATGGGAAGTGTGTCAAAACTAAACCAAGCCTTCCTCTTTACACAGTAAAAGGCACACAAACTTCTGCAGTCTTACCAGAAAGGCATGAAAGAAGTAAGCATTTTTCCTCGAAATAAGAATGATGTGCAATAAATATTTCAATTTATTTCAAACTTGAAATTCTCTCATATACACTGCTCACTCATTATTTTTCCAGCCAAGGAAGACTTTTTTTCCCCTAAAGAAAAGGTTGAAACTATATAAGCATTGGTTACCTGGTCTAAAATGCAAGAGATCCAGGGACTCCTCCCCCTCAGCCTCTCCTGATTGAAATTCTTTCACAGGAACAAGTCACTGCTGTACTTTTTTAACACTGTGACAAAGCACAAGCCTCTACTCAACATTTTCTATATAGATGTAGCCTTCAGTGAGCTAGACTGATTCATGGGAGACTAAATGTTTTCAGAAGTCATGGCAGGCTTCCAGGTGCTGCATGTGCATCCTGTTTCTCACTGAATAAGCCCTGCCAGTTAATCAGTGCATCAGCAAGGTCAGTTCTGGCAAGCCAATTACTTCATACATTCCAAGTTTCCAAATTGCTAACTTACCGGATAGCAATTTGAGATCTTAACATTTTTATTTATGTAAATGTGGTATTTATATTTTACCTCTAAGTAGTGTATGAAATCATAAAATATTTGTACCATCTACATAAAAAGTTAACCAACAGAGTAACTTTAATTTGCTTTGACAAAAGAGAAGGGCTATTCTTTAAGTGACTTGCTTCATTTCAGTTCTACATACAAAAATAAATCCTTCCCCATGGGACATTTTATCATACTAATGCTTAGAACTGTTTAAGTGATTAGAAATGTAAAAAGTGAGGAGACTTTCCTGAATACAAACATATACAACACAAACCACATTTGTGAACTGGTAAAAACCGACATGTGCACAAACACAGACTTCAGTATTCAAATGCTCTTAATTCCTTTGAAGCTATATTAACATCTTTTCATCCATTCAATGTTATTTTACCATAAGAAGAAGCAACAATAGTGCATTTAAATGACTATGAAGATAGGAAGCAAAGTGCAGTATCAGAAACACATTCCATCCTTAGGGAGCAAGCACAATGGCTGCTTCTTAAAAACTAGCACTACAGGTCTGATGAACACACTACTTAAGTGGATACCAGCTCTATTATCACTGATGCAGGGAAACCTGCATCACAAACTGAAGTGAGGCTGAGAGAGGTGGGTAGTCTTTATAGACACTGAAACAGCATGTATCCCTTGCTCCCACAGAGTAAACAGTGAGCTTCTAAAAGCTCAATTATCACCAACCACTTTAGGATAATGTGTGTTAGAGAGTCATTTCCTTCCAATAAATTGTTAATTTGCTCTTAAGAGGACAGCTGTTATTTCATTTTTGCCATTTCTAACCAATGCTAGCAATCTAAGTCTTCTAAAAGAAATGGATTTGCCATTGAACATTTGCTCTTACTTGCAATTGCCTACTTCTCTCTCATAATTGTCTCAAAAGTTGCACAACCACCTGACCAGTTTGGTATTTGGGAGGAAATGCTACCAAGAGAGCACCAAAATGGTTGTGCTGGCTCAGACAGCCATGCATAACCACACCACATGCAATGTATCTTCATCATATGCTATGTGGCCTTTTTTCTAACTTGCTTTCTAACTGACAATAGGAGAACTTAGACTTCAATTTACTGAAGTTACACTTAGTCCAAGATTTCTGAGAGGAGGATATGAATGAAAAAGTTATTAAATTGGAGAAGTGCCAGCAAAGTGTCATTAAAAGCACTGTATATGCCGCATTATCAAATTGAGCAGAAGTTTAGTTTCAGTTACCTTTTGAAATGTATGTCTAATTTATGACAATAGGGTATTTTTTATTGGAACTAAGTACCTGGGACAGAATTAACTTTGCCATGTATCTAGTTTTGCCTGTTCTAGCCCTTCCAGTAACCTTAAGCTAGCATGGTAAGAACCTTGCATGGGCTTAAATTTTAAGACTTCTAAGAAATTAAAAATTACAAAGAATTTTCAAGAACCCACATGTACAGCAGATATTCATCTCAGTGCATTTCCTAATAACTAGTTTACAGGTAACAGAGCCAGCCTGGGCAGCAGTATGGTAATATTGAAAGCTATTGCCAATCACATGCTTATCATGCACTGAATAAGATGATATAATCTTTGACATACATACAAGATTTAATAACTAATCACTTTGTGTGGCCCAGCCAATAAACATTACATTTGAACAGTAATTTCTTCTACCCTTATTAGATTTTAACCTATCAAGAGTGATCCATTGGCTCAGTTGCATTAGTGATTCCTGCATCTTGACTATCCATCTCCTCAAGCTCCTCAACAGAACTTCCCTTTTGTGCTTTAGACCTTGCAGGGAATGTTGTTCCCACAGAATTCACCATGTTACCATCAGTTGATTCAGTATTCAAGTGTTCAGTACCACTTGGTGCAGAGAGTGATTCGGGTAAGGCAGCTTGAAAGCTCCCAGTTTTAGCAGTTGAACTCACTGCCTCTACTTTTCTTTGAGATACATCAACTGATGCTGACTGCTCTGTATTCTGATCCCGCAAATGTCTATCCATTGAAGCCTGAATAGAAGAGACCATTTCCTGCAACTTTTTTCTCTGTGCCTCAATCAAAGTGGGGTCAAGCTGCCTGCTGTCTCTCATTGTCACAACTCCCGGAGCAATTCGAATAAGCTCACTGTTACCAGAAGCAGCTGTGAATACAGAAGGCTCAATTTTAGCAGAAGGACTGAAGTCCGTTTCTGTGCTATGCTTTCTTAAAAGTGGTGTTTCCCTGGCTCTTTGATCATGTTGTTGACTACTAGATGCAGTTCCTAGGGAATGACCCTTTCCTTGAAATGCAGTTATGTTATGTAGTTGTTCAGATTTCTTTTTCACTACTCCACCACTACCCAGCTTCAGTATTCCATGTGAAGGACTTGCTTCCCTGCTTCTTGAAGCAGCTTCTGCTCGCACTTGACTTAAGGCCTCTTTAACCAGCTCTTCAACATCAGGACCGATCGGGAAGTGCCCAGCAGCATCCACACACAGCTCTAGTCTGTCTTCTGCTGCATTGTACACAAAGTTTTTACCAGGCAGATGTGGAAAAGTGCAGTGCTTGCCATCAGCCAAACCTATAAAGACAGGAAAAGTTATTCAAAGTGCTAACATATTTTAAGGCATGCTCTGAACACACAGTAATTACTGTATTTTAATTTACTGAATCAAGTATGTAAAATCAAACACTGAAAGTTACTACTGTGGGAGAAAAAACATAGGCTTTTATGCCATACAATAACCAGAGCATGCTGCAAAGATGCTGCTGCCTTCTGTGATGACTCTGATGAATAGACAATAGCGTACTATTACAAGATAAAATGACCACACCGCTACGACTTGCAGTTCTATGCTTGCAGTAATGTAAAAGAAGCCAAACCCTATCACTACCATCACCCTCACCCCAAAAATCACACAAAACCAAACCATCACAAATCAAAACCCGAAAACTGACAAGGAGAACATTTCAAAACACTATCTGGAGAAATACTATTTGAGACTACTTCCATACCAGTTAGAACTGTAGTAGGATTTCTGGTTGCCTAACTGCTGCTAAGCCTGAGGAATTTCCAATTTGCTATTTTGTCTTGTTCTCTGAGAGGAAGTGTTGCTAGATTAACAGAAGTATTTCAAGCTTACTGTATTTAATAGTCCTGGATATTATAACTATTAACCTTTACAAAATAAACATAAGGCATAATATTATTGCTCTGCTGTTTGTTTAATTGTCCCACTTACAATTTGACCAATCTATTAAAACTGAGAGTTCACTAGATAATTTTAAGTTCTGAAATTTCGGCGTGCCAAAAATGGACAACATTCAGTCTTTACAGTTTATCATCATAAAACACAAAATAAGTCTTTCAACTCTGTCCCATGCAGGCTGTGGTAAAAGCAGTAAGGTATCACTTCAGTGACGGTGGCTTTCTGTGAGTTAAAAGCTATCTGCAGATGAAAACTTGGCTGCAACCATTCTCTTCACTTTAGTTCCATCAGCTATGCATGGAGAGCTACAATGAAAACAACACAGTTCAAAAGGTGCCAGGAACAGGTAAATTGTTAGGATTTTTCCTCTCTTTCTCAAAATTCTTGAAGAAAACCACCAGAAATTATTCAGAAGGGAAGAAACACAACAAGCAAATTCTAGTTCTGTATTACCAAACACAATGCTTTCAAAATGAGTATTCTGGGCAACAGTGGGAAAGGTCATTAAATAATTTGATAAGTTATTAAACTGTTTTCATCCTAATGAACCTACTTATTAATCTCACTCATGCTCCACAGCTTCTGATTCACACATCCACAATTGCAGAGGACCTACAAATAAGATATTATTCTGAGAGCTTCAGACATGTGGCTCCTTTCTTTACATATCCATGGGAACCAATAACCAAACAGCCAAAATGCAGAACAAAATTTAACCTCAAACACCCATCTGTCTAACTTCGCCTGAACAACATATTTTAGATATGTAATTTAGTAGCTCAATTCTCATTTGCAAAAGAGGGAACTGAAACAATTCCTATGAATGACCAAAACTGCCTCTGAAACTGCAATCCCAACATCTCAAAGACCTTAAACAAGATCTATTAAATCAAGTTTCAAACGATTAACAGTACCTACGCTTCACAGACTGTTCTCAAGGTCCAGTATGACAGGTGCATTATTACATTATCTAAAACATTACAAATAGGTAAGTAGCTTCTTAAAGTGGAAAGATGAGCCAGATTGTTGCACACTGGAATTGTAAAAGTGTACTAATGCTGAAATAGCAATTGTACCTACCAAGACAGTCTGTATTTGAAAGTATGCAGTGCCAGTGTATGCAGGCATTTACACTACTATCTGCTACAGCCTTATTTCTTACACAGTAAGCTGGGAAAAATTACTTTTAAGTTAGACATTTTCTGAGAGTTGGGTTAAAATTCCTTGGATTCATTTCAGGATTTCAAATCTGGCTAGCCATTAATTGGTCAAAAACACCCTTTCCATCAGGCACTGTGTAAGCCGATTTACTTTCCACAAACAATACACCACTCGTTACTGTACAAGCATAGTAAAAGAAGGAAAACTAAAAGGAAACAGATATAAGACACTTAGCATGCTAACTCTATTATCAGGCTAATAATTCAGTGAGAGGTAGTGGGCATTGAGTATATCACACATTTTAATTTATTTCCAGAAATAAGTAAGATAAAGTTAAGGTTGATAAAACTGCCTAAGAAAAAAATCAAACCAAGAAAGCAGTAAAGTGACCATTGTAATAGCTGAAATCACAACAGTTAAACTGTGAATGGAAAGATTTCATCAAGAAAATAACTTTGGGAGAAAATAACTCCTTAGTACTTTCTTCTCTAAAGAAACAGCTGCTATTTTTTGTAGGCAGTATTTTTAAAGCCACCTAAAAATCAAAGGTATCCCACTTGCTTGGTTATTCTGCACAGAACCCAAGATGCAACATTCAGCAATTCAAGAAGGGGATGGATAGTTTTCCTTCTGAACAATAATCTTAGGAATATAAAAAACAAATTTAACCAACAATTTAAATTTAAAACATGCAGTACCCTGTATAAAATATCTGCTAAGAAGCACAAGGAAGGTAAACTCCTTATCCAGTAAGCATCTTAAAGTAAAGGAATAAGTGTTATGATTCGTTGTTTGATCTTTACAGGAGAAAAAGATATGGAAAACAAAAAAGTCAGCTGACTTTTTTTGGTCATATTGTCATTAAGAAAAAAAAGTTGTTTGTACAATTCAGGAAGTGGAAATTTCAGAAAGTAAGAGGTTTAAATTCAATGAAATAGGTTTAGGCAGATTCTCTAGTCTTAGTCTGTCTGAGGGAGCATTAGGAGTTCTCCAATATTTAAGAATGAAAAATTACCATAGCAATAGACTTTCAAAAAATATATTTATGCTTAGAAGTGACTCAGTACCAATTTACAATTTTCAGGATTAGGAAACAGAGGAAGGAAGGAAGGAATAAAAACAAAACCAAAAAAATACCTGTTGTTTTCTTCATTATGCTGTAGAAGACTCCACCCTGCTGAAACAACTGAGGAAGCCCCTTTGCATAAGACCAAACATCTTCTCCTGTAAAAATCAAACACAAACATTAAAATTAAACAGTTGTATTTTCATATTATAGACAATGGCCGAAAATGTAACTCCTTAAATCAAAAGTTGAGCCCTCACTTTCTTCTATGCAATAAAAAATTTGAATTTTTATTGCAAATGCACAGAACATGAGCCTGGGACATTGAAAGACTTTTAGAAAAACATACCACTGTCTGCAGCCAAATATCCTACATGTTCTAGAACAAAGGTTCCCAAATTTGATTTGATCCAAGGTGCAGCTCCTGTTTCTTTGCCAAGCTCTAAACACGAGCCTCCATTCCCCTCCTACCTCTGCTTTCAACATTAAACTAGGAAATTACTAACACACTTTCAAAATTCAAGCACACATCCTTGCTCATTAAAACTTGAATTCTATATCCCTACACCTTCTCAAAAATCAGAGCTCAATTTCACAGCTACCACACAGGAGACTTAATACTGCAGCTGAGACACAAACATTCACCCAGGCAGCTGCATAGAAGCTGTGTTTGTACCTTGCTTTTCTTGACAGTTAGAAACAAAATACCAACCATGAGGCCCTGGCAGTCCTGTATAACCAGTGTTTCTCAACAATGCCAAAAATGGCATTGAAATGTGACAACTTTAAATGCCATGGAGAAAAAAAAAAATCAACCTAGACTACATAAGGAAAGGAATATAAAGAACAGAAAAATTGGGTTACAGTGATGGAATATCAGTGACCTAACAGCACCTGCTCAATCATTTCAGATCTGCATTTGCCTATACCCTTTTCCTTATTTTGCTAACCACTTACCTGCTTCAGAGAAGTGACATGTGCTGTAGCTGTCTAAGCAGTACAAACAGAAAGTTCTGATAAATTCTATTCTCCTGATGCAGAAACAACTACTGTGCATACACATTTTCAGAAAAAAAATTGTTTTTCCTACTTTCCATCAAATATACAAGGAACATACCAATACATTTTTTATAGAAATTGCCCCCTTCCGTAGAAATTGAAATCTCAGTAACAACAGCTCTCAAATTTCTATTAAGATTGGAAAATGTAAATCTTCAACTATAGTTAACTGGTTGTACTACTTGGATAGAGAAAGCTGGAATGTGTGAGGCTGTAAAACATAACCCACCAATATATCTTTGCTTGCTGTTATAAGGAAAATAAAATAAAATAAAAGAGCACAGGAGGCACAGGACTCTTGATGCTTCCCTGCTCGTCTGTTCCCCCACAACTGTCACTCAACTCTCCACTGCAGGCATTACTCAAGCCCCCATTCACTTTATAAAAGTACAGAGCACATTCACCACATTCTGACTTTGGATATTTTAAAGACAGGAGACTGATATAATCTGATGAATTTTGAAACTATTCCTTCAAACCATATACACTCAGGTTCATTGCATTCATTCACACATCAAGCTCACAAATTCGGCCTTCACTTCCAAGATGAACATTGAAGTAATAAACCAACTGCTCTTTCTTCTTATTTTCCATGATCCACTGAAGGAAGTCTTCTGGCACTGCTACCTGTGTCCTTTCTCTCATTGGCAATTTGAAATGCACTTCCCTATACACGGTGTCTGCAGAGCATTGCTGCTGTGCCTCTTCCAAGTCTGCCTGATGGTTTAAACACTGCCCACAGGAATCAAAATAACCACTGCACTGAGAACTATCAGAATACAGCTGTCAGTCCACTGAAGCCTGAAGAGGCCACAGCCAGCAGGACTCCATACTAAGGACTCCTTTACTGCTGCATTGAGCAATCCATTACCATTTGAAGGACTCCCTTTCATTCCACAAGACAACCACTGGACTTAAAGAGAAGCCCAGTTTTAAAATTACTGACATTTTCCAAGGAAAGCTTCCCTATTTGCTGTGGGCATGATTTTTCAAGCCTTGCACAAGGGAAGCATCACTGTTTAGACAGCCTTTTATGCAATACTAACAAGTACTACATGCAGGAAAGCATGGAGAGCAGGGCTCACAATACAAAAGCATCAGCCACTGAAAGAAATACAAACTAATGACACTGTTTTGGTAGACATCTCCCACTAGAAGACAAAAAAGCCCACAGTTACAACTGGACTTTCCCAGATCAGAGGAACTAGTGTGTGACTCAACTAAACTGCATTTGAGGTTTGCACATTTTTGTTGTTAGCTAATTTTTACCGTTTGTTTTGGATTTGTTTGCCATGGCAGCAAGATGTTTATAGGTCACAAGTTAATTTGGATGATCATTTAGTTAGATTATAAATTCCCTCAAGACACTACATTTATCAAAGAGATTATACTGCTCCTACTCCAGTACACAGTTCCTCAGACCAGACCCCAGTCCCAGAACATTAAGGTATGGGAACAAATCCAGACTGTCCTACCCACAAACAGGCCTTGTTCACCGATATAAGTTAGCCTGCAGCCGCTGCAAGCCCAGGACTGTCACTTCAGACAGCAGAGAGAACACACAAAGTGCAATGCAAATAAAAAACTCAATTGATAAACATGTTATAGAGAAGTTCAGCTGGCTTCAAAGCAAGCTCTTTAATTCCATGAAAATCCTGTTATCACATAATACACTAAATTTAAACCTGGCTATTTTGATTCCTTGTGTATGGATGAATTCATCAATGAAAAACCAACCAATCAAAATAAATTCATATCTGGCTTGCACATATTCAAAGTGCCTCTGCAGGGGTGTAATTAAATCTGGTTTAAAATATAATGTTTTAAATATGTTAATCCAAAATTCCAATTCCTTTAGTAATTTCCCTACAGAATTCTGCATTTTGAGCTAGGGAAAAAAAAAAAAAAAGAAAAAAAAAAAGAAGAGAAAGCTTTACAAAAAATCATGCATAATATGTTAATTTTTCCAGAAATTACAGTATTTAATTTCCCAGGGCTTTTTTTTAAATTATATACAGAAAAAAAGTTAAGAATATGATCTAAAATTCTAATAAGTAGCTGAGACCAGAAAAGAAAAATTCTAGTAGCTGAAATAAGAAAAATACTTCAGCCTACAGGAGACTCTGTATGAAAGAAACTGTTTTAAGCACACAGAATGAATAATTATGGATGTTTGAAGACACGCTTCCACTATGGGCACTGGGGAAAAGAAAAGTGTGTCTAGCCCAATGAGCTATCTGAACAGCATCTCCCCTCTACACATTCTAATCTCACTGTATTATAGGAATGTTTTTAGCAGAACAAAGTTACAAAGCTGGCTCTCAGACCTTTGCAGCAGTTTTTAGCAGTACAGAAATGCTGTTCTGAAAAATTAAGGCTTCTTGTCTCAAAAAGGCTGAATATGCCACCTTGAGGAATTGCCACCCTTAAGAAAGTGCAAGGACTTAGCAAGTTTGTTAATTTGTTGAAAAATCACAGTTGTGAACAGTCTAGTAACTAGATTTCTCTCACAAGTATTTTTAAAGAAAAATGAAGACCCAATGAGAAAAGCCATGATATAATAACAGCATCTTATTCGGTAGTTGCATAAGGTTTTATAACTGGCTGGTTTATCACTTGCTGCTGCTTTTATCTCTATTAGTAATGCACAATGGATGCAGCCAGAGAAGGGTGAGATAAATTCTATTCTAAACGGTGCTCTTAAAGCAGAATCTAACAGCAGTGATGGCAAAGACAAAAAGCCATTCTTGCATACAAGATCAGCTCCCAGTTTATGGATAAGCACCTGTGAAATAATAACATACCTTAATGCTTAAGTAACCAAGATATTTTTAAGGTATGCCAAAGTTTTTTGAAGTCAGTAACTATACTTCCAGCAGTATTTCCTGCAAACAGGAAAGCACTCTTTTAAGCTTAATCTAGAAGTGAAGACAACTTTCAAACTTAACTTTTTCCTGCACTTTGGAACTGGGGTGTAAATGTCAGTGCGATGAGGTGGGTAGTGATTCAGCACACTATCTTGTAAAAGACACAGGAGTAAACAATCACACTTGGAAAAGAATCAAAGTTCTGCTTGATGAACTTCTGACATACCACTCTGTGATTACGTAATTGTTTCGTTTCTGAAACATCACATGCTTTAGCCACACCAAATCCCTCCAGCAAGAGAAGGCTCCCACAAAAAAAAACCTGTAAACATGACTATTCAACTGGTTCGTAGAGCTGAATGTATGATAATTACAGTTCTACTTCCTGCCAGAAAGCAGCCAGAACTGTGAAACCTGATGAACAAAATACATAAACAGGGGTCCAAGTCTCCTGAGTTCAAAAAGGAAAATTAAAAACACAGGCACCTGAGAAAAGTCCTTTTGTCTTGAATTATTCACGGTCAGATTTACATGACTGATAATTTACAAGTATAGCTTTGCAACCCTATGTCTGACCTTTGGAATTCAGATCCATGTTTAGATTCTTTCAGTTTCTCCTCTGTTTATATTCTGAAATAGCACTTTCCTTAAATCTTTAAAAAGACCAGATCTTCATTTAAAACTAACGGATTACCTAAGGAGAAAATGTCAAATTGATATGCTTAAACCAAGACAACTCCCTGTGGGGCCAAATGTCAGGATTTCCTCCTACTACAAAGGTGAAAATTTGTTCCTCAAACTTCCAATGAGCAGGGGACACTCAGCATCCCCTTCTCACCCCTGCTCTGAATTTATTTCCTGAAACCCGAGGGAGATGTAGGAAAAAAAAAGTCTGTAGTTTCACACATATACTTCCAATGTGTGCCTAATGAGAGGCAGGAAAAACAGAGAGACAGGACAGCAGAGGAAATGAAATCACCTCTAAACAGCAATTTTAAAAGAGGATTTTATAGCAAAGGAAGAACAAGTATCTCATATACCTCATATATACATTTCTAAAAGTCACTGACAGCATATTAAATGTCCTTCTAATAAAGGAATAAACTACAAGATTACAGCTACATTTCAGCTACAAGATTAAGCATGATTTAAGAAAAAGGGAAATGTGTATGTAACTAGAGTTTGCAACATGTTATCTTCTACTTAAAAATACAATTTCGAAGAATAACACCAAGTCAGCCTTACCCATGAGTGTTGCCAGAAGACAGAGCGAATACATCTCCTTGTCAACTTGCTCTTGCAGATCTTTTGACGAGATCTTACTGGTCACAGCAACATCTTCGTGCTTTACAGCATGGGCTGAGTGAGCTGAGGCAGCCTGCCTGCCTTCCTCCTTGCCCTTCAGAATTTCTATGGCAATCCTGTCACCGTGCTGCAAGGGAACAGGCTCATTTTCCATGCCTTCTTTGGGAGGCAGAAGCTCTTTTGGAGGAAAGCCGTAGCGAATACATTGCAGATATGGGGGAATATTAAATTCTCTTGCTATGCCTTCCTGGAGTTCCAAGAAGGTGGTAGTGCACTTCAAGGTAAGCATTGACTGCCTCCCGTCGTTGGTGGTTATTCGAATTTTCTTTTCTTTTGCAGATGTTGGAGAATAAGGGGTTTTGGTTGGTGTAGCAGGTGCAGACGAGGGCCCCTCACGAACAGCCCCAGGAGAAGCAGTCCTGGGTTGCCCTTTCTGCTCTTGTTTCAATTTTTCACTTTTCCGTTTCTGCATTACGGAAGCCTGGTCCGCAATGTTCTGCTGAATAGTTCTTTCAGCCTTGCTCATATTCAATTCCTCCTTGTGCAAAGTTTTAGTCTTCTGTCCAGTCAAAATGATTTTGGTTGGAAGTTGCGACTCTAACTCTTGTCCTTGCTGTACATCATCAGCTCTTTGGGCGTGAGCACCATCGATATTTACAGGGGTATAATCATCAGGGTTCTTTTTGGCAGTTTGGTGCAGTATTGTGTTGACAACTTTCTGCACGAGAATCTCGCTACCAAATTCACCGGGGAAGTGCTTGGTGACAAGTTTCATGGCGACATCATACACATTGCTGTTCAAAGAGGTGTCACTTTCATACTGGAACCAGTAGACAGTCTCTCTCACCACTCTTCCACCCCACTCTAGAGTTATAGGAAAAGCTTCAGGCAGATTGTCATATTCTTTCCCTTCCCAGTAATGCTTGAATCCACAGCCACATTTGCCACCTGAAGACCTAGTATTAGTTCTGTCTCCATCAATATACAGAACAGACCCATCTTCTCTGACACGACGCATTAAGTTACCGTGGCACCAGTTACAAACAGTCAAATTACTCAGGCCATAGTCTGGTACCAGCACATCCTTCACAGGGTTGTAAGAACACACCAAACTGTTCAGGGGAAAACTGTAATTTTTGTCAGGCCTTAGCTGGCCGTGAGTACTTTTTGCCAGGTTATACAGCTTCCCCCCAGGAGCCAGCCACTCTGGGGGAACGTGATGCTCTGAAAGAGCCCCACAGATGAGGCACCTGTGAAGGCGGTTGTCCATCACTGCTTTTTTGGCAGCTGCAGTGACCTCTTCGGGCTGGACCCCTATTACACCAGTCCTTCTGTAGAAATATTGATGCACATCAGCTACAAGACTGGGGTGGATACCATGCTTACTCATGAAAACCTCCTCCATTGCAGCAACAAGCCTCATCAAGTACTTGTCCTGCAAACTTCTGTCTCCTCCAATAATGCAACCACCATCCTCCTCTAACATGATGTACTTTTTGATGAGGTCTTGAGGAACTCCCCAGGCTTTAGGAAGTAGTTTCCTAGGCAGCTTAGGTAAAGCAGCACCTTTTATTCCAACCAGAGGAATATAATGGTTACGTCCTGAGCTACTCCATGCAATACAGATCGGCTTGTTCAACATGCCATCTTTCCCCATGCATTTTTCCAGAGGTATCAGACCAGGCAGGAATGTTGCTGAATAATCTCCAGAGCTTCGCATTCCACTCAAGGAGTCTAACAGGATGATAGGCCGGTGCAGCACGTTGGCCAGACCAAAGATGTGAATATTCCTAAGGCCCATTGGCACACCTTCTGGAGGAACAAACAAAGGGTCACATTCATTGATAATATCCTCCCACTCTGCAGCATCAATAAAGTCATGGAAAAGTGCCTTGTAATGGCTTAGATTCGCCTCAAAATGCTTCTTTAGATTCTCTCGGAGAGCATGCCAGAACAGTTCCCTACCAACAAGCGCTCGTGAGACTGCATGGACAAGGCAGTGGCCATCTCCATCCACGTGGACAGGAATGAGGCACTCTTGACTGTTGTTGGCCTTCTTGATGTCCTCCAGGGTGTCGTGCAGGTAGATGAGGCTGCCGGAGCGGTCCTTCCCATAACCCATGGTTTCGACGTGCTCTGGCTCGATGAGGAAGGCGCGGTCGCCCAGGAGGGAGCAGTCAAAGATGTCTCCCTGGTTCATCTCCGTGAGGAGCTTGGCTTTGCCAGTCTGCTTGTCCATCCCATAGCGGGCCAGGATGGGGGCCAGGAGCTTGCAGTGGTAGTTGGAGAGGCCATTGACTTTGACGAGCTCAGTGTTCCTGCGGGGCGGGCCGGCGCCGCTGACGCCCAGCAGCGCATTCCGCAGCAGGTTGTGCAGCACCAGGTCGGGGTCCGTCACCTCCTCCACGGCCAGCAGCTGCCGCTGCTCGTGGCGCCGCCCGCAGTCCGTGCACTCGATGCTGCCGCTGCCCTGCGGCCCGTGCGCCGGGAAGAACAGCCGCGCCTGGCATTTGGGATCGGGGCAGGTGCCCGAGAAGATGCGCCGGTCTCGCTTCTTGGAGGCGGACGGAGGCGGCGGCTGCGGCTGCTGCTGAGGGGACGGCGGCGGCGGCTGCTGGGGCTGGGACATCGCTCCGCTCCGCTCCGCCCGGGCTTCACCCGCACCCGCTCCTCCGCCGCCCTCACAGGCGCATTCCCTGCGCGCCGCACAACGACCGCCGCCTCTCAGACGCCGCCGGTGCCGGTGCTGCCCGTGCGGTACCGAGCGCCGCCCGCCGCCCCCCGCCCGACGCGGAAGCCGCCGCCGCTCTCACCGCCCCTCGGCCGCCTCAGTGCCCGCAGCGCCGCGGCCTCGCGCACTTCCACGCCGGTGGCGCACGCGCGGCGCCGCAGGGGCGGACGGGAGCGATAGTTTCGTTAGCCAAGGCCCAATGTAGAGACGGTATCTACGTGCCATGGAGAGACTACAGAGACCGTGATGCCACGCGGCGGAGAGTGGGAGGGCGGGGGCGGGGCGAGGCTCGGCGGGGTTGCTGGGAAGCGTAGTCCGCGGGCGGGTGGGCCGGGAAGGGCACTCGGCGGCGCTTGTTGCGCTTCCTGCGGGAGCGCTGGGGGTGGCAGTAGGGCGTGAGGTAACACCCCCCGCATGTACATTCCTGCTCTGTCTCGCTCGGATGTTGTTCTGAGGTGACACCCCACGTGTATATTCTCCCTCTGTGCCCCTCGAGTGCTGGTTTGAGGCGACACTCTACGTATATGCCTCCTCTGCCCCCCTCGGGGGCGGCTCCGAGGTGACATCCCCCGTGTGCATCCCTCCTCGGCCGCCTCGCCCCCCGCCCGCTGACGCCCCGCAGGAGCACCGGGCGAGGCTCCCTCCCGTGACACCTGTCCCCCTGGACAGGCTCGGGGGCGAGAGGCTGCCCAGCCCAACAGGCTGCTGCCGGCAAGGGGCTGACAGGAAGGGACAGGCGGGGGCCGGCCCCAGCCTTCCCCTCAGCAGTGCGGCTGAAGGGGAATCTGAGGACCCCCGAGGGCTCCCCGGGCACGGAGCTTTCCAAAAGCACGGCGAGCAGCGTGTCCTGCCAGGCGCAGTCCCCTGCCAGCAGCACTGCCTGCAGGCGCGGGCACACGGGCCGTGACCCCAGGCTCTGCCCCCACAGCCTCGGCAGGCAGGCCCGGGCCGGGGCCGGGGCCGGGCTGCGCCTGCCCTTGCAGCGCCTCGGGGCGCCCGGAGCTCAGCGCACCCTCGCCGGGGTTTCGATTCCCGAGAAGCCACGCCGGGCTGCTTGTCCAGGGGGTGAGCTATCTGAGCGGAGGTGTTCCCCGGCTGCCGGCTGCTGATAGCGACAAAACAAGGCTCCAGGAGACGCGAGAGCAAGCTGTTAACACGAGTGATCCCTCCAGCTGGTGCTACGTAAGGAGATAATGAGGGAACGGGGCTGGCGCTTTACGTTATCTCCAGTGGCCGTCTGAAACGATACTGTTGCCAAAAAGAAATGGAATAATGTTCACAACTTCCAACCTAATTGCAGGGCTGGCAGCGTATTCATGTGGAGAACTCAAGGAGGGATACTGTCAGCAAATGGAGGAGTTAAGCTCTCTGAAAGCTATTCCAGATAAAGATTTATCCTTAAATTAAGGAAAACAAAAACTGAATGTCGGAGGACAAAGTGGAATCTCACAGGGTATTTCCAAGTACCGGTGACCTATCCCTGTGAACACAAGGGCAAAAAAAAAAAAAAAAGACCATTTCCTCCCTCCTCCATCACCTTTGTTCTACCAAACAAACACCTGGAATTTACATCCCAAGGCCTCACCTATTCTATAGTCATTCAAATGATCTAAAATTAGAATAAAAATAATAGAGATTGCATCATTGAGATAGTATTGTGCTTGTACTTTCCAATACAAAGGGATTGAAATTTTTCATTTTCATTAATCCATGAACAATAATTTATGCATCTGACATTTAAATTATAAAGATTCAGATGATTAATACATACAGGGGAAAAAAAAATCTGTTTCTGTGCTTTATCACAGGCTTAAGGAAAAAAATGGCTCCGGGCCTGGCCCTGTGACAGACTAAGCACTGCCACCTTCCAGTGACAGCAGCTGAGCTGTGCATGCTCATTCCCTTTCGGTTTCAGTAATTTGTCAAGCACAGAAAATGTGTGTGTGTGTGTGTGTAAATGTATGCATTCCACAGTGTAATTTTTTATCTGATCTTTTAAAGTATGTGGCAGGTTTGAAGAAGAAAAGATGAAAATTATGAGACAGATTTTCATTCTTGCCTGCTACTAGTACTTTTTAATGTGTATGACAGTAAGGTAGCAGCATCACCAGCTCCACAATCCTGCCAATGTGCCTTGTACTTGGGGATAAATCAGCAGTCTGTGCCCATTCATTCCTTAGTCTCCCCTTCATAAGTAGCAGGAACGCAGTAAAAATGCAAATAGGGAAGCCTCTGTGCTCTGTGAAACTGTGTGGCAGCTACTGAGAATGGGCACCATTCAGGGCATCGTCCGGTGACAATCCTGTGCTAACCCGGCCTGCATTTTGAAGAATTGTCACAAGAATTTTTCCATAACATTGCTGGCCTCTGGAGCAATCCAATTTTTCACATATGGGAAATAAACACTTCTGTTACCATTTAATAGCACTTTGTTCTCAATAACAGAGAGCACCCTGATGAAATAATTCACTTGTACTGTCAAAGCCAATGGAACTTATGATGTTTTGTTTATTCTCCAGCCAGATGTTTTTATGAAAGCACTCTGACTGTATAGTCAAAAACATTTCTCCTTTCTATTCCTTACGTTAATTTCACTGATAAATTATATTCAGTAGAGGAATCTATCTTTTATGGTGGCTTGACCCTAATTAACATAGATGTTTTTGATGAATGACATTTATAAGTTTTCCAACTATATGCAAACTTATGATCATGATTGATTGCCCAAGCAATTTCTGCAACAATAAACTTTCATTACAGAATCTTTGATAAAAATCACAATTCTCTGGCAAACTAATAATTTATGGAAATTAAATGCATCTTTATTTACAAGCTTTATACACCGTATCTGGCAAACAGGATAAGGAAGTTCTGTGTTGTAGCGCTGAATACAGATTACACAAGTAACTAAATCTTTAAGCAGTCTTAAAGGAAAATTCAGGAAATACAGTGTCTGCCTGGTTGGTAAGTACCCTACAGAGTGTAGCAATGAGTCCTACCAGAGACCATGGCAAGAGCCATGCTATTTTCACAGGCAAACAACATCACAGTCAAGCAAGTAGGATTGAAGATCACACTGATTACCAAGTTAAGTCTATTTGTAATGGGTCAGAAGAGTGATTAATTGTCAGCAACAGGACATACCTGAACTCGTGCCACTTCGTTGATGAGAACCAAGCACTGACAGTCAAAGTAGCAGGCATTCATTTCAGGCCCAGGATGGAAGATGTAAAAATTTCAGTTTGATCTTCACCCAGTGCTATTCTGTCTCTTCTTTGTCATTTACCCTCAGGAAATGGGTCATTCCCAGGTCAAAGCAATTATTTTTCAAAGGCACTTGTTTCTTCAGAAGAGCAATGGCAGAAGTTTCCAGCTAAACAGAAACAAAAGGCTTGTGCAGCATGCCAAAGAACAGATCATGATAAACTAGAAGATGGTCTGTGTTGTCAAGAAGCGAATGTTATTATCAGCCTTCAGCTACACCTCAACATGCTCTTCAGAAAGGATAGCTAAAATCTGGTGTTTTCTTCATTGAAACCCTTGCAGAGCTGGTCCTGCCTAGCATGCAAGACTGGCAGTTTAGCCTGACCTGGCTCTGAAAGCTCTATATGTACACTCAAGAAAAAAGGAGACAGGAAACAAGTGTGAGCTAGAGGGAAGATGGCAATATCATCACACCCCCCAATAAATGCAACATTTTTTTTATTTAGATGTGACAACCTAGCATCTAAAAAGCATGTGTAGATCCACAACTGGATAGTACTTATGATATCATAAGTACTATTAGTACAAGGAGAGAACAACAGTATGTGCTCCACTGCACAGAGTAGCTTCAAGTGTTGTGTGGGCTCTTTACTTCTTGCTCCTGTTTAGCCAATTTGGCACTCACTTCCTGACCACTGCTGAACTCTGTATCTTATTTTGCCCTAATAAGCACCTAAGCAGGCGTTGTTAAAAGCCCGAGCACTTGCCACCATGCTACCTGTGGAATTCCGGAGGGGTGTTGGTCACAGGCCTCCGCTTCTCCTGGTCCTCAGAGGCAGCATGCAGCCCAGCAGTGTTCTGGAAGGACAGGAATGACCACTGAGCAACTGCAGCTTTCAGGAACCTTTGGGTTAATTAATAGTTAGCCAGTGGCAGTCAGAAAACAGCACCTGACTTATCCTGGGGACCTGGGCTGGTAACTCGTGTCCTGGATACATCCAACTGAATAACTTCCATATCCCTCTTCTACTGCCTTCCAATGACCTCCAAAATTAAAAAATGTTTTCCTTCAGTGCTTTCACAGAGTCAGAGCTTGAACGGCTGCCATTGCACCAGGTTCAGCAACTCACACCACTATTAGTTGTTCTCTGTTAACACTGATGTCATTCCTACACGAGACCAAATTTGGGCTGCTCAAAGTGTGGAATGTGTGTTAGCAAAACACTAATGCATTAGAAAAACAATATTAAAAGAGAAATATTGGGCAGAGCTTCCAGTACTAATTACAACCATTCAAATAACCTGCTCAAAGGCTTTACTGCATCAAAATCAATGTTCAGGTGGTGGTTCAGGTACAGCCCAGTCCAGTGAGAACAGCTCTACAGCTGACTCTCATGCTGGGTCAATCTCAACATCCAAGGCAAGCTGCTCAACAGTGGTTTGGGTTTGTTTACCTATGTTTCCCTTTTATTTCTTGGCTCAAAATCCAGTTCTGAGGCCCTATCTTGAAAACATTTCAAATTGATTTCACATGCAAACTCCTCTGCAAAGTTAAAGCCCCACATTTTTTCACTCTGAATATTGCTTTGAGAATTGATGTCAGCACAACTGGCAAACAAAATTGATTCATCAGGACTGCCAGTGTTCAGGAACTGTCAATAGAAAATCAATCTTTAGGGCAGTAGACCGTTAAAAAAAGGAGAATGTAAGTGTTATTAGCTTAGATGTGTAACCTGATTATATGGAAGCCTCAATGGCAATTACTGTGAATGTTTATCTGCTTTCCATAGTGCTCTGTCAAATACAAATTGAACGAATAGTACAATCCCATTACACTAAAAGATAAATGCCTCAAAATAAAATAGGTTGAGAACCTAACACACTCACTGTCCTATTGATTTGTATGTTCACAGTGTATGCAGTCACTGATCTCATCAGCTGTTAAAGGTTTACTTAAATCTGTATAACAACCCCATGTATTTAAACGTCCCAATTAACTGTCTGGTTCTAAGTGAGATTCTCTCTGCAAATACACAGTTTAAAGAAAGAATAGCATTTCCAGTACAGAAGAATTGCCAAGTCAAGGATGTAAATGGGGGACAAAGACATCAAATACTTCTTACAGAGAGCACATAGCATTGACGCCTGGCTTGTGATTATGCTTCAAGTTTGGAAGTATTTAACAGGTTGAGAGCCTGTGTTTTTCAGAGTTGAAGACAGAAGAGAGAACATGATGCACAAATACCAAATGGCAAAACGGTGGGGGGGTGGATCAACTAGTTGAAAAAAAAAAGAAAAACAAACAAATCCACTCTATCCTTAAATTTTCTCCTGAGGCTTTTTAAACTAGATATTATAACACTTCAAATTGAAACCAGATGAACCCTTCCAACTGGTTTTCTGCCCTGTTCTTTGGCAACTGAGCTGAGCATTATATCCCACCTTCCAACATGCACAAACAGCCTTACCACCAGTAGCCAAATGTTCTAATAGTTTCTAGTTTTCTGATAGCTCAGAAGGTTCTTGGTCCTTTATGCACCTATAAAGGTCTAAACTACAGCTCTTGTGTTCATTAATTCATTGCAGTTCACTAATAACCTTCCAGTAAGTGGCATCCTCTACCACACTTCCTTGTCTTGGATGTGATTTCTAAGTATTGAAATAAGTGAAAAGGAGGTTTGTAAAACCAAAGAAACGGGTGCCTACTACTAGGCAGGAATTTCTTTGCAGAACAGCTTTTTCTTGCATCTGATGTAAAACCACTGACAGTAACAATGATGAGGCACCATCTATTTAAAAAAAAAAAAAAAAGAAAAATTTTTTTTTTTCGTTGAGAAGTATTTTCTCATTGTGCACCATCTATTAAAAAAAAAATAATAATTTTTTTTTTTGTCGCTGAGAAGTATTTTCTCATTGGCTTCTATAATGGAAAATGCGTAAAGTGACTGTCGTTGAGAAGTATTTTCTCATTGGCTTCTATAATGGAAAATGCGTAAAGTGACTTTTAATTAACTCTTGTCCTCACTAATTTTATCAGGACAAAAACCCAAAACCAAAACCCAAACAAACCCCCAAACCAAACAAACAAAAAACCCAAACCAAAACAAAAATCCCACCAAATTGCTCTTGGGGACTTTGCCATTTCTGGTCTATATAACTTACTTCCATAAAACTATGGATGGTGTTTACCTCTTCCCATCCAGCGCCGGCAGTCCGAAGCCGAAGCTGCGCTCCGGAGTCCCGCGGCAGGGCCGGCGCCGCGCCCGCCGGGCTGTGCTGGCTCGGCTCTGGCAGCAGGTGTCAGCAGAAGCTCGCCGAGGGAACCTTCCCGTCATCCCGGGAAGCGCCGTGCTACACGCATGAGACATCGGTGCTGTAAGACAGCACTGCTTTGTCACTCCGCTGCCTTTCTTCTGACCAAGCAAATAAGGAAAAGCAGCGGGTCCAGCTGCTGAACATCCTGCGTGGTTGTACACGGCAGCAACAATCAGGTCGAGCTTTGCTTACGCGCTGGTAATTCATTTGCCTGGCAAGCGTGGGGGTTCTCAAGACAGATGCTGGTCTCGAAGAACATTTTGTGCTGGAGAATGACAGGACACCGTGATCTGCACTTTGAGAACGTGAGTGCCTGTTCTGAGGTCCGGAACTCTTCAGGCGAGTGGATCAAGTGACTGCAGAGGAGAGATCCTCCTTATGGTATGACTTTACTATAGAGCACTGCATAAGGATGACTCAGGGGATAAAATTTTAAGGAGAGGTTTTTCAAATAAAATCGTACTAAAGGCAAGCTCACTACTCAGACTAAGAGCTATCTGCAGGTACAGCAGGAGAAAGCTCATTCACAGGCAGAAAGTTTGAGAGAGATTCTGTCGATATGTCAGGCATCCTATGGGGAAGGCTTTCCAGATTTAAATCTGAGCAAACCTAGATGAGTAAAGTGTCAAACAAGTTGCACAACTTGATGAAATAACAAGAGAGTGAAAAAAAGACAACTTCGATACAGCATTCTGGGAACTCTCCGCATTTCCAGATTATATTGAATGTGAAGGAAGTAAAAATCAAAAATCATTCAGAAAAAAAATCTGAGGTTACATGGGCAAGCCATCTTGATCCAAGGAGCAGTAAAGTGAAGAAAAATCACTTCAGCTAAACAATGACCTTGACTCCAAACATCAAAAAAACCCAACCCAAACCAAACCAAAAACAACAACAACAACAACAACAACAAACCCACAAGGCAAAAATCCATGAAATCAAATTACCAAATAGAAAGCAGGATGGGGAAAAAAAATCCAATGACGCAAAAGCAGAAAGTAAGATGTAATAAAGGGGATATAAGGATAGCACTGCAAGTGCATTATTTCTGGTGGGAATGTTTGACAATGCCAGCCCAATATGGTTACCTATTTTCTCTCGGTGAGGGCAGAGCACATACAGCAGAAGAAGTGCTAGCTGTCTGATCTTGGCATTCGTGAGTTTTGGTACCCTCTCGCATTGCACTTTACAATCAAGCTAGCAGAAAATGTACTGATCCGATACTGCTGTGCTAGATAGAAAAGCCATGATTATAGCAAACTTACGTAACCACAGCATATGCAGAACAGCTGGTCACTACCAAATTGTAAAACCATATCAAAATGAGGTTATGCAGGCATCTGTCCTCAGTCTGTTCATTAATTACATGCAAGATTATCCTTATCAAACTTGTGGGAAACACCAAGCTGGAAAGAGTTGCAAGCACTTTGAGGGAGAAATGTATAGTTTAAAATTCTCTTGACAAGCTAGTGAAATAAATAAGATTAGAAATTAGCATATATAATATTTTATTCTCACTTATAATCACAAGATAAAGGAGCACATTTATTGGAAACATTTTTCAGAAAGGATCAGGGCCTACAGTGAATCACAAACTGATTGTGAGTCAGCCACATATATTGTTATGAAAAAAAGCAAAGCCTTTTAAAGGATTCAGTGAGTGAGTGTCACAGGGATACAAAAGGATCAACATGGCAACTTGCAGCAAGCAGAGGGTGTGCTAGTACCTCATTTCAAGAAACATGAGAACCGACAGGGAAAGGTCTAAGCTAAATCAACAACAAAATAATCATGATCTAGAAGAAATAAAGTTGAGAGAAAGAATGGATGTCATCATGTAAGCACGCAAGAGCAAGGTAACTGAGGCAGGTAACACACAAACTGTGAGTTAAAATCTCTGTAAAGAATCATGATACAGACATAGAGAAAATCAGAAAAATATGTTAGAGATACTATGGCTTAATGAAAAATAGTCTGCTCTACTCACAACCCTTTCCTAGCTTCCTATTTGTGAATATGATTGAGAAATCCGCTCCTCTTTGTCCTGTTAAGCTTTGTTCACCTCCTGTTTACACCAGGAGTAGCCAGCTCAGCACTCAAGGTGAAATTTGGGGGAGTGTTCCTGATGAAGACAAAAACATGCTACATTGAAAAATAGAAAAAAAGCTAAATGATAGTTTGAGAAAAAGAGACTGAGAGATTACCTTCTGATATATGGGTTAGCAGAGCTGAAAGATTTAGCTAGTGCTATAGTAACCTACAGACCAAAGAATATTTGACTGAAGCTGTTACCCCTCCAAGAGCATTATTCCCAGCTCGGCTCTTCCAAAGCACTTCACTATCTCTCTGTGGTGTGGGAAGAAAGAAATGCCTGTGGAACCTCTGACACAGGGGGACACCTAAGCAGTCTGGCAGAGTGGGAAACACCAGCTCCTTAGAAAGGGAATCACAACAATGCCTCGTCCTTGTTGCACAACACCAGTCCCCTCAAAGAAGGCCTTCTGCAGGTAAACCTTCTGCAATTGCCAGAATAAGACAAAGAAGAAAGTAGAGGATATGTAACTGCACCCAAAATGTTGTCTTTTAAGTCTAGGTGTAGGAAAGACAAATAAATCCTTAGGAACAGATAGGATCTGAAAATTCTCTGAAGTGGAGAAACATTTTTACCGCTGGTTTAATATTGATTCAGGTTTATCTAATCCCTACTTTAATTATTGTGCCTTGGTCACTCCGTAGACTCCAGACTCTTCCCAAACAAGCAGCCATCTGCTACTGTGTGCCAAAGGATTTCTCATAAACTTCCAGCAGTTGCCACCAACAAATAAACTACCTCAGATGCAGAAAGCTACTGGTGTTTGAAATATGCTCTACTGACAGCAGATCCACGGACTGCTGGTCAGAACACCTGGGACATTTGCTGGGTCTTTCCTGCTGGAGTTCTGCAAAAGTTGATTACAAAATGGATGATTTTAGCCTAGACTTACAGCACACTGAAGACCCCAGGGTACAGTAGATATCTCCTACTCACTTGCACAGTTCAACTACCCTTTCATTGTATGCCCACTAAATTTCACTATGCTTATGTCTGTGTGCAAGATTTAAAAAAAAAAAAAAAAAGTTAGTTACTTCAGTTCTTTCCCATTTTGCCCCTATGGTAGAGATGTTATCCATTTCCTTAGTCTGATTGCATTTGAATTGCATTACAGGGCAGAAGAGTTCATAGAACAGAAGACAGAAAAGATAAGAAAGCAGAACAACAAAACCGAAGGAAAACAAAAAATTTATTTCATTTTTAAGTTGTACTTTTGCTGTCAGCAGAGCTGGAAATATTGCCCGTTGATGAGTAAGCATTAAGTAACAACACTTCCAGTTGACACATATATAAAAGAATTCAAGTACAGAAACTTCAGTAACTCTTCCACTTCACTTGGAAATGAATTACACCTTCCTTATAGTCTTGTAATCTTGCCCACTCAAAGGGTTTATTCTCTTCTTTTAAAGGTTTTAGACCCTGACTCCTGTATTAATACAGATAGGAACACCTCCATGAATTTGTGGTAGGTTTTGGGATTTTGTATCTGTGAAAGCTATTGACTCATTGTTGCTACTTCCTGATAACTCATGGGAAACACATGAGGCAGGGGTTTTCATGTTCCCCAAAACGGCAACCACAGCTAGGACAGAAAGGAAAAAGGAGAAGAAACAAAAAAACCAATTTCATTAAATAAATTTGTTTTCTATGTGGGATATTTTCTTGAAGTGAAACTTTGGTAAGTTAATTAAATTTCATCTTCTTGGAAACTTACATTGTTACATACTTACATTACAAGAAGCAAAAGTAGACTTAGGGTTTGATTTAGGGTCTCTAACTTACAATCTGCTTAATTTTTACAGTTGCATTGAATAAGATGATTATATGTCCTCTCATATTTTGTTTGCTGTATTCTTTGGATTTATATTTGGAGGTCTTGATATAACAACTATGTTTCACCTTTGTAATACATACCATACTGCCCTTTTTTCTGTATCTTGTTGTAGAGAAATAGCTTATAATTCTTGGCTGGATGTTTGAGAATTGTAATTTAATATATTTAAAGTAAACAGTTTCAAATTTTGAAAACTATTTTAAATTTAAAAATAATTCAAAAGAGCTTTTTACAGATTTGAAAAATATACTGTCTTCCATTATTCTAGCTAATTGCGCTTGCAGAGGTTGACTCTTAGATGCTGTAGCCAGCATCACTGATGTTTCATGTGATAAATAGTTCACAGCAGCAGGGATCCTGAATGCAAAAAACATGCTCTGCTTTGTATGCAAAAATTTAACAGGATTGTGGTGTTAATGGGATGGGTGTTACAGTACATCCAGCAACAAAAGCTGAAGGGCAGCTAAACTTCTGGTGTGATTAACTTTGAACTTTGCAGAGAACACACTAAAGTATGAAATAGCAACACAATATGTCACAACAGTTGAGTAAGAGGATATGACTGAGGAATAACAAATTTTGGTTTTGGAGGAAGAGAAAGAAAATAAAGTGTGATTACTACCTACCTAGACAGAAGATATGATGCTTAATTGCACACCTCTCACCATTCCAGGGAAAGAACTGTATTTATTCACTTGAAAGCTGCTCCTAGTTAGGGAAAAGGGGAAAAGCAACAGTGCTTACATGTCCTGAAATATGACCCACAAACTTGGCAACATCTTGCACCAATGTTCATCATGTCTCAGGATCAAACAGCAAATGACCATTATTTAATAACAACTAAGACTAGGAAACATGGCTTACACTCCTCTGAATATCTGTCCATGAACTCCAATTCTGCAAAAATCCCATCTAGACTTTTTTTCTTGAAGACACAATGAGAGGTAGGGATCCCCAGATGTGATTTGGTAATTAAGTTCCTGGAACTCAATAAAGCATTTAAGTTTCTTTTTATTTGATATTTGTGTTAAAATTTCATCTTAATTGCTGTGGTCCATGTTTCAAATGTGCAGTAAAATGTGTTATACTACCTTATTAGGGGAAAGCATTTTCAATACTATACCTGGTATGAATATTAGACATATGAACTGTTAGCTAGCCTCCTGAAGATGAACTTCATAATTCCTTCAGGAACTTGCTGTGGAAAAAAAAGGGAATTTACATGCCTGAAGACAGGAGCCCCTTCATGAACATGGATTCAGTGGCAGATGAATCCATGTCACAACAAGCCCTTCTCGTGATACGTAATCATCGATTTATTACCTGGTTAGTATGTGGTTGTGGGGGATCTACCCAGCCTGAGCATGTACTGTCAGGTCTGCTGAACAGAAAGCCAAGGTAAAAGGTCACCTTATATAACTCTGC